GAAAACAAAAAAAAAAGTACCAAAATCGTAGAAAAGAGTAGCTAGTGACGAGCCAGTTTAGTCCCGCCTCTGCCTCTAGTTCTAGGGTGAGATCCAGATAACAAATTATTGGTGGCGGGGTAACAAATTATTGGGTGCCGAGTCATTTCCCGAAGTGCCAAAGTATCATCCATTAGGTTCCAAAGCTGAAGTTTGTCTCCAATCTTCTTATTCCTCATTGAATAAACCTCTCATTCCTCCTCAGAAGACTGGCTCATCTGATCATCGTGTTGGTAAACAGAACGCCGGGCAGATAAAAACTGATGAGCACCAGAAGAAGGATTGCCAACTGTTGCAACGACTGTAGGTTCAAGTGTGTGTGAAACATGAAATGTCTCATCTTCACCTAATGCTTCCTGCGGCTTAGGAGGGTTTGAAAGTGTAGGTTGCTCAGCAGGGTCATCCAGTTTCTCATCGATCGCAGAAATAGTATTTTTAGAGGGAGGATCCACAGGGGCGATTAACTCAGACACCGTAACTTGTTCTGTGGTAGTTTTCCCTTTAGATAAAACAGATATATCCAAAGAAGTGAGGTCAGATCCATTCTTATTCACTTGATCTTTAGATTTCAAATTAGGATGAAACTTATAGCATTTATCAAGATTGTGCCCAAACATCATACAATGAGAATAATAAGGAGATCTATGCTTGTTAATATCCATTGTGAGTTGTGCCCAACCAGACTTCAGTAACATTAGGTAAAGTAATATCTCTTTTAACAAGTAAACAAGTATTCTAGCTATAGAAGATCTGGTTAGGTTAAAAGTGGATAGATCTAGCTTCAAAGAATCCCCAAGTATGACTATCCACAAGTATGACTCCAATAGAGTAAAGAACCTGATGGTGAAAAAAGTGCAGCTTAAAATTAGGTGGACTAAACCATACTGGTACAGTAGGAGATTCACGCTTGGGGCCAAAATCAGGTGACCACTTGAGTAGCTTCATTGGTTTACCAGCAATGTTGAGATATTTTTTGAAAAAAATCTCAGTGTAGTCTTCATGCACGATTAGTTGAATTAATACGTGTCTCCCATCTATGAGCCTTACTTTCCACTTTCCTACTAATTTGACATCATTAAAACTTTTCCTGATAACTTCCATAGGTGGAAGACCCTGCTGAGCAACCTACACTTTCAAACCCTCCTCAGCTGCAGGAAGCATTAGGTGAAGAGGGGACATTTCATGTTTCACACACACTTGAACTTACAGTCGTTGCAACAGTTAACAATCCTTTTTCTGGTGCTTATAAGCTTTTATCTGCAACAATAAATAGGAGACCACTACAGATATAATAAATAAAAGCTGATGAGTACCAGAAGAAGGATTGTCAACTGTTTTGATTAATTTGGATTATTTACTATATATATCAAATTAAAAGTTTTGATTAATTTGAGTTTGTTTGCAGATTTATATGCATGGTGGCTGAAGAAGGAGCTCTGCTAGGGTTCAGGTGGGCTACTGTTCCATTGTCAAGGTTCTTGTTTCATTGCTTTGTGGGCTGTTTGAAGATGGATGTGCCTTACTTTGCTGATGTTGCGGCTTTGTGCCCTCCTCCTAATAAGTTTAACAACACATCTCTCATTTTCGCTCAATATTACCATGACAATATAGCTAGAGGTGCCAGTGAAGGCTTTTTCAGGAAAATGTAGCTAGAAAAATGGCAAACCGGCTCTTATCCTCACTGAGGATGATAACTCTAAGCTCACAGAACTCCTGAAATTTGCTGACGCGGGGCTCAGGGGAGGACCGGCTAGTCCTCAAGGGATGGGGGTTGCCAACATCTCCTTCCTCTTCCCTCATTTTCCTTTTCCCTTCGTTTTTCTTTCCTTTCTTTCTTTTCTTACTTTCCTTCCTAGGTCTTCTCTAATTTAAAATCTTTCCTAAAACTGAAATCTGATTTTTATTCTCCTTCCTAATTTAAAACTTCTCCTAAAAACTGAGATCTGATTTTCATTCTTTTTCCTAATTTAAAACCCATCCTCAAATTTGAAATCTGAATTTATTCTCCTTATTTTAGTGTTTCGTAAATGGGTCAAGTCTCTTCATAAATAGGAGATGATGTGCTTCAAGTTAGAGGTCTTGTTTTGATATATGAATTCGAGTTTTAACCTTGGTATTTCCCCTTTAAGGGTTGTATACGAAGTCGCGGTAGTGCTCTGACTGTCCCTCGTCCAAGGTGGTGATCGTCTCCAAGACTCCGAGTGGTGCTTAGGCTGTATCTCGACCATGCTGAGCCATTTATCGTACCATACTTCTGTTTCCCTGCTGTCCTACTTATCCTACTTCATCCACAGCAGCTCCACCACTCCGACCCTTCCACAACTGCCTCCGACCCACCTCTCTGCCTCATGTCCAACCCCTCCAAACCGACTGTCCAGCCCTGCAGCCCGCTGTTCTGCACTCAAATCTGCCACCCAACACTTCATCTTTGCTGCCGCCACTCTCACTAGCCCTCCCGATCAACCTAGCCAACGCCCATCGCCCTTGAGCTACTCTTTCGAGGTGTTTGTTCGTCTTTTCATGTTTTAGTGATGTTATTTTTAGTTTGTGTGTGTGTTGTAATCCTATTTTCCCATTAATAAAAGTTATTTTTGGGTTTGGGATTTCTCCTCTGGTATCATTTACTTTGGTTGGACAGTTTCAAATGAATCATCCAGACTTGATCTGATTGATTTAAAGATTGGAAGATTTGACAGCATAAACATAATGATACGACTCAACAGAGAAGAAGATTATGTGAGAGTTTTTTTCTACAAGCATTAATGGAGAGGACACTCCATGAGAACTGTCCCCAGACTTTGATTGAAGCGCTGAATCCCCAATAATGCTAATCTGGTTCAGTTCCCATGACTCAAGTTGCATCTATATAATAAACATATCCTATTTTCTATTGGTTCTTTGTTTGCCAAGCCTTTAAAGCTAGATCCTCCAACATTCAAGATGATTAGACCATCTGCAGCTAGAATTTTGATAAAAAAGATTTCACTGTTCCAAGAGCAGAAGAATTTTAGATTGGAACCAGCCACAATAGCCACCGGCAGAAGTTGGACGAGGAGCAAAGACCCTACTATTGCAGAAAATGTGAAATTTTTTGACATACTTTAATGGGGTGCTACATAGCACATCGTGAGCTGATACCATCCAGGAACAGTAGAGGGGAAACAGATGGGGGGAAACCAAATGAGATAGAAGAAGAAAACAGAGAAGAGGTGATGGGAGAACAATTACAGAATAAGGGAATACCAAGAAGCCATAATGCTAGGGATCAACTAGCACAACAATTTGACGAGACCAATGATGGGGAAGAAAGAGTTGCAATTAGACGAGCAATATAATTGCTGTGGATGGATCAAGGGATAATTCAGGAAACTTCAGAGGCTATGCTAGCCGTCTTAGGACAGGCCTTTCAGGAAAAAGAAAATGGCACAATTTAGGAAGAAAAGGAAATCAGGGGCGAGACGATATGATGGAAAGAAACATGCAAGGGCCGCTGGATGATCAGAAATATGGAGCTCTTGAAATGGCAAGAACTATTTTGGAGGAAGAATGACTTGCGAAAAAAAGGTAGGAAAAGAAACTTAAGGGTACCAGGGAACTATAAACAGCTTAAATCCATTTAACATTATAAGGGAACATTGAAATTTTTCTCACAGACCGAAATCAGCTGATGGAGGCCTGTCTTCTTCTAGGATTACTAGAAAGAAGACGACCCACAATGATTAATGTTTTCTTATGGAATTCTAGAGGGATTGCTGATCCTCAGTCCTCTAGAAGGCTTATGCACTTAATAAGGATCCATAGACTAATTTGTTTTGCCATTTTTGAACCTATGGTTTACAAAAACGGACAGAATTTTTAAGAGATGGAAGGGCTTCAAGCATTACTGTAATTGCAGCAATAAAGTGTGTATTTTTTGGAATAAAAAAACTTCAAGTTCATATACTGAATGATGATGTTCCGCAGCCTCATCTGAATGGTGAAGGGTGATTTCAGTTGTTTTGCTACACTGGTTTATGCAGGATGCACGAAAGACTCAAGGGTTGAGCTGG